TTATAAATAAATAAGTTTTGTAGAATTTGGACAATTATTCACAAATTTAAAACAATGTCATATCCTTTCATGAATTGCTTATTAATGGATTGTATGTGTTTTATTTGATTGCCAGTCTTTTTCCAAACTAATTTTTATATACTGAGGAATTATATACTAAGGAAATTATCCTATTTAACAAATATGTGGAATTATTATTTTCTAAACTTGTGATTTGCTTTTTATATTTCTATATTGGACAGAATATTTTTGGCCATATAGAAATATTTTTACATTTATATAGTTAGATTTATCACTATTTTATGTTTTTATGTCTTGCTTAGAATTTTCCTATTTCAATGTTACCAAAATATTTCCCAGATTTTTTTCAACATTATTTTTTTAAGCCTCTTTGCTGTTTTATATTTAAATTTAAAACCATCCTCACTTCATTTAGATGTAAGGAGTTAAGTAGGGAATCAAAGTTTAATTATTTTAATAGAACATAATTATTTCCCCCCATGGCTTTAGTATCCCAACTATGCATTCTAAAATATGGCATGTGTTTTTTTATCCAATTCAGAACTCTGTTATCTTCAATTGGTCTCTTTATTCATGTGCAGTTTAACACAAGATGTAATTGTAGTTAAAATACACTTTGATATCTGGTTGGTCTAGGACTCCATTATTACTTCTTAGCAGAACTAGGTTTATTCATACATATTTATATTTTAAAGTTAAATTTCAATAAGCTAATCTGGTAAAAATCTACATTTACTTAGTATTTTGAATAAGATTTAATTTATTTTAAAGAGCTAGAAAAAGATTTTGTACCTTTGAATAATTGAGACTTATTATACATAATCTGAGTAGATCTTTCTACTTAAGTCTTATTTTATGCTCATCAGGCCTATAAAGTTTCTTGCATGTAACTTTAGTCTTTTTGAATTTTTCTTTTTATGTCACTACTTGAAACTGGATCGTGTGTTCTATTACATTCTCCAAGTATCTGTGCTTTCAATATAGGAATTAAAAAAAAAATTAAGATGCAATCTTCATGGTGCAGCCTTCATACTCTTTAGTTTGCATTCTACAAGTTTTGACAAATACATAAGCTGTGTAGTCACCACCACAGCCAATATGCTGAATATTTCATCATTTCTGTGTCATTTCAGTACATTTCACCAAAATGTTTCCCCACTCGCCTTTGTAATCACCTCTTGCCTGCACCTCTAGCTCCTGGAAAACACTGATCAATTTCCATTTTATCAGTGCTGTCATTTTCCAGAATGCCAAATAAATTGAATCAAACAGTATATAGTCTCTTTCTTCCAGATTTATTAAGGTATAATTGAAGAGTTAAAACTTTGTATATTTCATGTGTACAATGTGATGATTTTATGTATATATAAAGTGATTACCAGCTTTTCCCTGGTCACTCAGACAGTAAAGAATCTGCCTGCAATGCAGAAGACCTGGGTTCAGTGCCTGGGTCTGGAAGGTCCCCTGGAGAAGGGAATGGCTACCCTCCCTAGTATTCAAGTGATTACCAAGGTCAAGTGAATTAGCACATCTATTACTTAATCGGCTTCCCTGGTGGCTCAGATGGTAAAGCGTCTGCCTACAATGCGGAAGATTCGGGTTCAATCCCTAGGTTTTTTTCGATTTTTTTGGTGTGTGTTAGTCACTCATTCCTGTCAGACTCTTGGTGACCCCGTGAACTGTGGCCCGCCAGGCTCCTCTGTCCATGGAGGTCTCCAGGCAAGAATACCGGAGTGGGTTGCCATTTCATAGACCTTTTAAAATCTGCTCTCTCAACAAAAGAGACACAGATGTATAGAACAGTCCTTTGGACTCCGTGGGAGAGGACAAGGGTGGGATGATTTGGGAGAATGGCATTGAAACATGTATATTATCATATGTGAAATGAATCACCAGTTCAGGTTCAATGCATGATACAGGGTGCTCAGGGCTGGTGCACTGGGATGACCCAAAGGGATGGTGTACCTAGATAGTGTATTAAAAAACAAAGCCATCACTTTGCTGATAAAAGTTCATATAGTCAAAGCTATGTTTTTTCTGGTATTCTTCCCAAAATAGTTGCTTTCAGCATCTATCTCCCCAAGGTGGGCTCCAATTGCTCCCTGCCTCTCCAAGAAACTCTCTAAGATCAGCCAGTGAGTCTGACCCAAGCTTTTTGTAAATTACTGTTTCTGCACTAGGTGTTTGAGAATGTATGGTTTTGTGTGCATTCTTTGAGGTTAGTGTCTCCATTTCTCAAAGTCATCTTTCAATTCTCCACCAAGTAAGCCCTGCTAGCCCTCAAAGCCAAAATAGTTTGTGGTCTTATCTTCATGGTGCAGGGTTCTTCGAGTAGGTAACTTTATGTGGGGCTTGGACTCCTCACTTCTTGGAAATAAACTCTACAGTGGTAATTATCATCTTGTTTATGGGTCACATGCTTGAGAGTTTGAGCTTATTTTATTTTTTTAGCACCTCACAGACACACCTGCTGGGGTTTGCCTTTCCCCAGTGATTTTTTGTTATTTTTTGGGCACACAACACAGCATGCAAGGTCTTTGTTCCCCAACCAAAGATTGAACCCATGCCCCCTGCAGTGAAAGCACTGAACCTTAACTACTGGACCACCAGAGAAGTCCCGGGAGTATGGGTCTTGACTATACTATTAATATATCTCCACTCTTCCTACTTGTTTTGTTGCAGTTCCTTCTCTGTATCTTTTGTTGTAGCAGATCATTTATGAGAGTCTTCAGGCTGGTCTCACCAGTAGTTGCTCTGTAGACAGTTGTGATTGTGGTGTACTCACGGAAGAAGGTGAGCTCCAGGTCATGCTGAGCGGCCACATTGCCACCTCTCTCCTACATCTGTGTTCATGCCAGAACCACACTGTTTTGATGACCATAGTTTTGCAGTATGCTTTAGAATCAAGAATGGGAATCCCTGCCTAAGTTTATTCTTTGTCAAGATTGTTTTAGCTATGTGGATTACCTTGAGATTTCATGTAAATTTTAAGAAGGGTTTTTTGTTTTTCCTCTATGGAAAACATCTTTGAGGTTTTGATTGGAATTGCATTGAATATGTAGATTACTTTAGGTAGTATTGACATCTCAATATTCTCAGTATTCCAACTTTTTTAAATTAATGTGTGTCTTTTGCAATATCTTTCAGCAACATTTTGCAGTTTTCAACATACAAGGCTTTTGCCTCCTGGTTTAAGTTTATTCTTCTGCAGGTTATTTATTGTAAATGAAATTTTCCTAGTTTGATATTTGAGTTGTTAATTGATATTATAACAGTTCAAGATTCTTTCATGATAAAACCACCCTCTAAACAAATTGAGTATAGACGGAGTGTACTCCAACTAAATAAAAAGGCTGTATATGACAGATTCACAGCTCACATAATACTCAACATTGAAAGGTTAAAAGCTATTCCATTAAAGTCAGGAACAAGACAAGTATGCCCATACTCACTACTAGGAAGGAAATTTTACATGATCTTTTCCTGTTTTATTAATTGCTAACGAATCTCACTGCAATACAGGAGACCTGGGTTCGATCCCTGGGTCAGGAAGATCCCTTGCAGAAATAGAGATTACAGTTCTCATTACTATAAATTTAAATGTGATATGCTAAATTGTGAGCACGTGATTGAAACTGACTTTATGTGCATACATACTCAGTCATGTCTGACTCTTGTGACCCTGTGGATTGTAGCCCACCAAGCTCCTCTGTCCATGGGATTCTCCAGGCAAGAATACTGGAGCAGTTTGCCATTTCTTGCTTCAAAGGATCTTCCCAATCCAGGGATCAAACCCAGGTCTCCTGCATTATATGCACTAATAGATTTAAGAGAACACATTTATTGGAGAACAGAATAGATGTGGAGAAAAAGGGCAGGAGGCCATTGCGTTGGGCCGTGAAGAAAATGCAAGTAGCGAATGATCCAATCTGTGATGTATTTTGGAAGCAGAGACAACAGGATTTGCTAAAGGTATCCCTAAGTAAGATGAGAACAATAGGGAGTAAAGAACATGGTGAAGCTTTTTGTTTGTTTGAGCAGTTACAAGGAAGTTGGTATTTAATAAGATGGGGAACTCCCTTTTGATTGTGGAATATTTAAAACTTATTTTTACATATATTAAATTGATATCCAATTGTACATCCAAAGTTGGAGACGTTGCATATATTTTGTTTTGCATTGTTTTACAGCTGTCTCATAGTTGTTTCTATTGACCAGAAAAATAAAATGTAACATATGTCAGGTTCCAAAGCTCCATTTGTAACAATGGTTATGTTTTTATAGCCTTTGCACATAGTTATGTAGAATTTTAAGACAAAGTTGAAAATATATGGGAAGCTAGAGCCTGGAGACAAGCTTACAGTGCTTTGGCATTTACTGATCAGAAAATGAGGAATATCCAATGAAGACCCTAAGAAAGAAGTTTCAGTGACGTTTGATACAATTCAGGACAGTGACCTCTATTTATAGTTTTATCTACTAACAGTGAATATTGAAATTAGCTTAAATGGATCTCAAGTATTACACTTTTGTGACTTTATATATGGTGTACCTTTTAAAGGAATTTCTTTCTCATATTCTTGTTTCAATTTTCCTTTAAAAAACATTTTAAAAATTACTTCCTTTGTAAAGCCTTCTCTGACTTCAGTTTGATTGATATTATATTGAGCTTGATTGGTGTTATGCTTTAGCTTGATTAATATATATGTATATTGACTATAAACTTGTGTGAATATTCTTATAAAGGTACTTACTACATGGTTCTGGAATTATCTATTCACTGAGGCTAGGGAACTATGCCTTGTTTAACTTGGTATTCATAATGTCTGTGATACATTGGACACAAATACATACTCGTGTAAGTTCTTTTAATTGGCTGGCTAAAAAAAAATGAAACTTATAATGCATAAACTGCACCCCCCATCTTGTTTTGAAGGTAAACTGCTTTAATACATGAACTCAGCTCCTGTCTACACTAGATGGAACCACGGAGCAATGTAACTTACTTTGTCCTCCTGGGCCTTACACAGAATCCAAAGGAGAAGAAAGTCCTTTTTGTTATGTTCTTGCTACATTTCATTCTGGTGGGCAACCTGCTCATTATTGTGACAATAACTATCAGTAAGACCCTGAACTCACTGCTGTACTTTTTTCTTGCTTGCTTATCATTTATAGATCTAATTTATGCCTCTTCTATCTCCCCTAGATTGATTTCAGACTTGTACTTTGGGGAAAACACCATATTCTTCCAAACTTGTCTGACCCAGCTGTTTACAGAGCACTTGTTTGCTGGATCAGGGGTCTTCCTTCTGCTGTTGATGGCCTGTGACCACTACGTGGCCATCTGTAAGTCCTTGCACTGTTTGGTGATCATGAGGCGGAGGGTGTGTGTTGTGCTGCTGCTGTTGTCATTTGTCGGTGGTTTTCTGCACTCAGTAATTCAACTTAGCACTGTTTATGGGCTCCCATTCTGTGGCCCCAATGTCATTGATCACTTTCTCTGTGACATGTTCCCTTTACTGAAACTCATGTGTACTGACATCTATGTCATTGGCATCTTAGTTGTGGCCAGTGGAAGACTGATCTGCACTATTGTATTCTTACTCTTACTCGTCTCCTATGGAGTCATCCTACACTCTCTGAAGAACCTGAGTCAGGAATGGAGGCAGAAAGCCCTCCAGACCTGTGGTTCCCACTTTATTGTGGTTGTCTGCTTCTTTGTCACTTGTATTTTCATGTATGTAAGACCTGCTAAGACCTTCCCCATTGACAAATCACTGAGTGTATTTTATACTGTCATAAGCCCCATGCTGAACCCATTAATCTACAGTCTAAGAAATTCTGAGTTGACTAATGCTATGAAGACGCTCTGGAGAAAAATATGTTATTCCAGGTGGTAAATAAGTGCATTACCCATCATGGCAAAAGTAATTTAACATTAAAGCCAATAATCTTGGAAAATAAAGATTTCATAAATCTAATGGAAACTTTTCATTAAGGGATTTATGAAAATATTATTATAAATGAACTATATATTTGTGATATTATTAACAGTTTCTTTGCAAAAAAAGTAAATTGTTTTACTAGGGCACCTAGAAAGGTAAAATGCCTTTAAAGTGGGGAGTCAATAATAATATGTCATTTACTAGTGAATGACAATCTTATAAACACAATATAGTTTGCTCAATTTCTGATTCACTTTTAATTCTTTCTCATTCTTTGTTTTACTTTAGTCATATTTTTTGGTTTTACCTTCACTATTTTTATTGTACTAGTTAAAAAATAAAGTACTATATAGACCATCTTCTTATTCAATTTCATTTGTTTTACATATTATGTTTTAGTGTGTTATTTAGTTTTTTAAATAAAGTATGAAAGTATGAAAATGAGTTAGTCACACAGTCATATCTGACTCTTTGTGATCCCATGGACTGTAGCCCACCACGTCCTCTGTCCATGGAATTCGTCAGTCAAGAGTACTGGAATGGGTTGCCATTTCTTTTTCCAGGGAATCTTTCTGACCCAGGGATCGAACCCAGGTCTCCTTCAGTACAGGCAGATTCTTTACCAACTGAACTACTAGTGAAGCCCACTATATTGAAACTATAGTGGATAATAATACACATAAAAATATAATTTTTGCAAAAGTCTGTACTATAGAGTAACAGTCCTGCTCATCCCAAACCAGAGCAAAGTCAGGCAGATTGATTCCTCCAGTTCCATTCTTCTTTCTCAGGATTACTTTGGCTATTCGAGGTTTTTTGTATTTCCATACAAATTGTGAAATATTTGTTCTAGTTCTGTGGAGAGGGAGGTGGGAGGGGGGACTGAGATGAGGAATACATGTAAATCCATGGCTAATTCATTTCAATGTATGACAAAAACAACTGTAATGATGTAAAGCATTTAGCCTCCAACTAATAAAAATAAATGGAAAAAGAAAAAAAAAAGTCTATCATATAAAAAAAAAAGAAAATATTATTTAAAAATGAACTATATATTTGTGATATTATTAACAGTTTCTTTGCAAAAAAAGTAAACTGTTTTACTAGGGCACATAGAGAGGTAAAATGCATTTAAAGTGGGGAGTCAATAATAATATGCCATTTACTAGTGAATGACAAATTTATAAACAATATATTTTGCTCAACTTCTGATTCACTTTTAATTCTTTATCATTCTTTGTTTTACTTTAGTCATATTTTTTGGTTTTACCTTCACTATTTTTATTGTACTAGTTAAAAAATAAAGTACTATATAGACCATCCTCTTATTCAATTTCATTTGTTTTATATATTATGTTTTAGTGTATTATATAGTTTTTTAAATAAAGTATGAAAGTATGAAAATGAGTTAGTCACACAGTCATATCTGACTCTTTGTGATCCCATGGACCGTAGCCCACCACGTCCTTTGTCCATGGAATTCTTCAGTCAAGAGTACTGGAGTGGGTTGCCATTTCTTTTTCCAGGGGATCTTCCTGACCCAGGGATCGAACCCAGGTCTTCTTCAGTACAGGCAGATTCTTTACCAACTGAGATACTGGTGAAGCCCACTATATTGAAAGTATAGTGGATAATAACACATATAAAATCTGATTTTTGCAAAAGTCTGTACTATAGAGTAACAGTCCTACTCATCCCAAACCAGAGCCTCCCAGCTCTTGCAGATGTAGTCACTCTACTTTGTTTCTAAATTCTTTAAGTAATGATCTTTGGAAAAATATGCATTTTTTCACATAATTTTGTTACTATGTCTCTGTGTATAAATCTTGCATTTTACTTCTCAACCTTCTGAAGGTTTTACATACAAGTGTATATAAAACTAAGTTATTCTGTTTCCTCATACTGCTTAACTGTGATATAAAAGTACAATAGCACTAATGTATTCAGTTCTATTCATGTTTTCCTTAGTTTTTTCTCCACTCAGTTTGGAAAATTCACTTTTGACACATTCCATAAAACTAGTGTTTGTTAAACATTTATAATATATGAAAGTCTGACTAAAGAAAGTGTTTTATTTGTATACCTTATCTACAAATAAATAAAGTTGAATTTGGGTATCTATTTACAGACTTAAAATGATTTGTATTCCTTTTTCAAATTCCTTGCTTATTAAGAAATTTTTTGTGCTTTACTTGATTGTTCATCTTTATCCATACTGAATGGCATTTAATTATATACTTTAAAAATGATCTGGTTTACTTTGTTTATGGAATTATTATTTTTCTAGTTTTGATTTGTTTTTCTTACTTTTATACTGCACAGAATTTTTTTTGTCTACAAAGAAATATTTTTAAATTCACAAAATTAAATCGACCACTATTCTATAGCTTTTTTTGTCTTGCTCTTAGAGAATTTCCCTATTTCAATGTAATCAAAATATTCTTCCACATTTTACTTTTCAGGTCTTTGTGTTGTTTTGTCTTTTATATTTAAAATTTTAAACCATCTACACTCATTTGATGTAAAGAGTTAAGTAGAGAATATATTCTAATTATTGCTCTAGATTGCCATTTTTTAGATGCATAATTATTTTTCCCTATAGCTTTTGTACTTCAACTATGCAATAAAAAATATGTCATGTGTTTGGATCAAATTCAGGGTACTATTACCTTCACTTGATCTCTTTATTCATGTATCATTTAACACATAATATAATTATATTTTATTTAAAATAACCTTTATATCTCATAAGTCTAGGGCTCCTTTATTAGTATTCCTTATCAGAGCTATGTTTATTCTTACATATTTATACTTTAAAACAAAATTTCAATAAGCTATTCTGGTTAAAACTACATTTAGTTAGTTTTCTGAATAAGATTTGATTGGGAAAGAATTTGATCTTCAGAGAACTCAGAATTTTTATATACAAACTGCATAGGTCTTCCACTTAGCAGGTCTTCTCTTATGTTCAAGTCTCCCTATGTTTCTAGTTTGGAACTTTAGCCCTTGAATTTTTTATGCCACTATTTTAGACTGGATTATGCCTTCCTTCACATTTTCCAAGTATCTGTACTTTCAATGTATGACATCTGTTTTCTTAAGCTTTTTTAATAACGTGATCTTCACAGTACATCTGTCATTTAAAAAAAAAAAAAAANAAAAAAACGAAGGTCTACAAGTTTTGACAAATACACAAGTCGTGTAGTCACTGTCCCATTCAATATGCAGAACGTTTCATCATCAAAAATATTTCTTCATGAACCTTTGTAATCACCTCCTGCCTTCATCTCCAGGTCCTGGAAGACACAGGTCCATTTCCATTCTTTTAGGTTTTGCCATTTTCCATTTGTCTTGCCATTCGTCAATTAAATTGAATCATACTGCATGTAGACTTTCCCTCCTTGCTTTATTGGAGTATAATTGACAAATTAAAGTGTATATTTCAGAAGCACAGTATGATGATTCTATTCACATACGCTTTGTTGAAGAGGTTAAGACTCGCCGCTCCTAAGGCTTGAGTTGGATCTGTGGTGGGAGAACTAAGATCCCTCTTGCTGTATGGCGCAGCCAAAAGTAGAAAGAAAAAAGAAATCAAGGGTACAATGTGGTTTAATAAACTATAGCCAACCAACATAAGCTTCCCCGGTGGCGCTGTGCTTAGGGCCTCAGTCGTGTCCTACTTTTCGCGACCCCATGCCACGGACGGTAGGCCGCCAGGGTCTTCTGTCCATGGGGATTCTCCAGGCAAGAACACCGGAGTGGGTTCCAATGCCCTCGTCCTGGGGATCGTCCTCACCAAGGATCCAGCCCAGATCTCCGGCTTTGCACGAGGATTCTTTCCTGGCTGAGCCACCAGGTGGCGCCAGTGGCAAAGAATCCGCCTGACAATGCAGGCACCATATGGAAGGCAGGTTCAATCCCTGGGTCAGGAAGGTCCCCTAGAGTAGGAAACGGCAACTCGCTCCAATGTAGTTGCCTGGGAAATCTCATGGACAGAGGAGACTGGTGAGCTACAGTTCATGGGGTCGTGAAGAACTGGACACGACTGAGCACACACACACGTAGCCAACGTACTTTATATTAGACGCCCAGAATTTATTCATCTTACAACTCAGTTTGGATCCTTTGAGCAATATCTTCCCATTTATCACACACCTTCAGTCCCTAAAATTTACATTCTACTCTGCTTTTAAGAGTTTGTTTGTTAGTAGATTCTACAGGTAAGTGAGATAATACAGTTTCTGTTTCGCTATACCTGGTATAACCTAACTTAATATACCCCAGGCCCATGTAGGTCCGAAAGGCATAATTCCCTTCATTTTATGCCTGAATAATAGTCTATTGCTTATAAGTGCCTCATTTCTTTGCTCTTTCATCTGTTGACTGAACTTCAGTTGTTTTAGAATCTTGGCTATTGTGAGTAATGCTTCATTTGATAAGAGAGGTTATGTATCTCCTGAAGAAACTGATACCATTTCCTTTGAAAAAGTATCCGGAAATGGAAATGTTAGATCATACAGTAGTTTTATTTTTAGTTATTTTAGGAACCTCCATATTGTTTTCCACAGTGGCTGCATCAATTTATATTCCCACCAAGAGTGTATAAGGGTTCCAACTTTTCTACATGCTCACCAACATTCCTGTTTTATAAGACATTAATTTCATTCATGAAACATGTGCTTCATGATCTAACTACCTACCTGAGGCTCCCCATCTTAACACTATCACATTGAACATGAGGATTTCAACATATGAATTTTAGGGACACAAACATTCAAACCATAGAAAGGGTCTAGTTGCATTCTTTGCATATGGTTTGAAGAAGGAATTCATAGTGCCTTGACTCCATCTGAGGCCTGTCTGTGCTGATCATGCTTGGCCACCTCTCCAGTGGACTCTGAACTCTCTGCTTAGTGCCTGTGGGATCGACAGTGGAAGGAAAAGACCCCCTCCAG